CCTCCTATAAACTACTAAGGGGACCTATCTTACACATTTTCATGCATCATGTCTCTATGTATTTTCCTAAATATTAACAAACAGTTCAACACATGCACTTAGCACATACTGGGAAAAAATCCTATGATCAAAAGATGATTAAAATTCCTTTGATATATTACTTTATGGTAATATTTTAGATTTCTCCTTTACTTGCTACTTTGTGGTTGTTCATTTTTCATGTTCTTGTTTTTAACTATAATAGATTTTTCAGAGTCAGTGAACTTGACAGTAGAAAAACCAATAAAACCAAATGTGTCACAAAAATAAATGAAGTTTCAGTCATAAAGGCACATATTGTGTAAAACCAAGTGAAAACACATCCTTCAGATGAATATAACTTCTTAACAATGTTATAGGGAGGGTTCACTCTCATAAGTTCTCATTACAGTAATCCTTTGAACTTAAATTTTTAATTAGCTTTGAAATCCACAATGTAAATTTGAAATATGTTGCCTTTAGAAATCATAGTCTACTTAAGGGGACTGAAATAACCCAAAATCTAATAAAAAAAAGAATCTCTTTCAAGATAATTTCCTTAGTGGCTTGACGTCCATTTCAATAGATGATCATTAGTTAAGAAAAAAAAATAAGTAAGTAAAGAAAGAAAGAGAGGAAGAAAGAGATTGAATTGCAATTTAAAATGTGGGTATTTTGTTCATCCCAAGGCATTTAATACACAATAAATGTTAGGCCAACAAAAATACCAAATTATTTGATCGTAAAATTTAGCAAGCATGTTTTCTTATAACTTTAAATCTAAAATGTTTGTCCAGTGTTGTGCAGACATTTATAATAGCATTTTAAATATAATTAAATCCTAAATGAAATGAATGGGTTATCTTTCAAATTCTGTATGGATTAAAATCACTGATAACCTAAAGCTTCAGTTTTCATTGCTATAGTAACTGAGACTGTTTTTCTCAAATCTCAATGCCTTAGGAAAATGTATTCTGCTCAATTCCCTTTGCAATGGCCTGCTTCCTGATTCCTTATTAATAACATAAGTAACTAATGCATATTCCATAAATGTACAGCTCAAGGTGAATCAATTATTATTGATACCATTATTTTCCAAAAACTTAAACATCTATAATGAACAAAATAATGAAGATTATAGCTTTCAGAGTATCTCTGTATAAAATTAATAACTATATTTCAACAGTAATCCATGGGATTTCAAATTCCTTTTTGATTTTGTCTAAAACATTCAGTTCAGCAAAGGAAGAAACACACATCCAGATTCTAGACATTGATTCGTATACATACCTCCACACTGTCAATGTAATCATGATTGTTTTGTTAAATCAGCAATCGAAATGGGGGAAATACTTTAAAAGAGCTGCATTAATATATGTCCTGATTGTGACTGGCAGTGTTAATTATAGGGGAGATTTATAATTCTGTCAGCACTTTCCAGACAATTACCTTTAGGTCTAAATTCCAGGAATGCCATATAAATACACACCCAGACACGCACGCACACACACACACACACACACACACACACACACACACACACACACGCACGTGCACGCGTACACGCACGCACGCACACGCACGTACACATCTGTGTTCTACAAAAATCAAAGAAAAGGATGAAAAAAAAAAAAAACAACAAAAATACTGGTGGAGAGCTCAGAAGCCTGGATGTTATCCCAGTTCATCCATCTTTAGCCCTTCTTCCTGAACTAACCTTAGATTCTTGGTGAGGAAAATTAACATGCTCAAGAATGAGCAAAGTGATGATGTGTAGACATCAAGTATATTTTTATTCATTGCTGTTGTCAAAAAAAAAGGGATTTTACTTCCTTATATATTTCTGGCATATGACTGGACACATGTTCTTTGGATTTATAGTGGAATCTCTGAAACTACAAAAAAATGAGTAATTCCAAAACTTAAAATTCATCCTTGGACAAATATGGAATAAACATTAAAATTCATTGCAACATTAAAAATATAAGCATAAAACATAAAACTGTATTGTAAAATTAACTGCAATTCAAACAACTTTAAACTGATGATGGACCTTACTCATTAACACTGTCATGACAAATTCCCAAACTTGGTCATGATGCAAAATGAAAGGGGGTTTGTTTTGTTCTGTTTTACATAGAGTGGGGCTTATTAATTGTGTCACAGGACTATTTAATGATCGCCAGAATGTGCCTGTGCCTGCTTTAAAAATAAAGTCCCTGATTTTGAGAGGTTATGAATTCATTTTTTTTTGTCCAAAAGAAATGATAACCCAGTGTGTAGAGAGATGAATCAGAAATTAAGAACACCTCCTGACATTCTAGAGGGCTCGAGTTTGTTTCAGGGTACCCATGTCAGGTCAGCCACAATTGCCTCTCATTCCAGCTCTGGGGACTCCAACACTATCTTTGGGCATATGCATGTATATGATACATGTTCAAACAGACGTGCATTTACACAGAGATAAAAACATTTAATATAACAACTTGATCATTCAAAGCTTAAATCTCCATTGCTAGGAAGCATAACTTTTTTGTTGTTGTTTTTAAATCTGAAGGCCACAAGAAACCACGTTCCTGCCATCTTTAAAATAGCTTTGCTGTCTTCCCAATCCCTTCCTTATTGAATAGCTAACTAATTTTAATGTAAGTATTCCAGTTGTCCAAACATGAAATTTAACTTTTGAATTTTTTTTGTAGTTTTGGAGATTCCACTATAAATCACAAGAGCATGTATCCCATCACCTGCCAAAATATATATAAGGAGGTGAAGTTGCTTTTCTTTGGCCACAGGGAAGAATCCTAAACAACAGGACCTAAGCAAACATATTTACCTACAGTGTTTCCGTGTCTCTTTTCTTATCTGACTCTGTTAGGTTCCCAGTGGTGACTTACTTGTTTGGTTCTGTTCTGGTATATACTGAGCAAATAAAGCCATTTCCACAGGCAACAGTAAAGGTGAAAAGTGCAATTACCTTTGACGATCTCTCTTACTTCTCTATTGTTTCTTGGGTGAGAGACAACAGAAACCAAATTCTGCTGACCTCTGGTATTGATTGCCTTGTGCAAGGACAAATTCAACATGCATGAAAAAAACAGAACAGAATTTTCAGATCTGAACCTGGTGGTGTTTGTGTTTGCTCTTGAACCACAATTAAGTGTGAAGAACAGAACAGAATTCTCAAAAATCTCTTTTCATCACATTTAAAAATGACTTCACCTCTTACTATAAGTCCATAATGATTTTATGTGTATAGTACATTAATAAATTGTATAACATCTTAAATTTACTTTGATATGATTTGTAATAAAGATAATTATACTAATCCTAAGAATCCCAGATTTGCAAGAGAGTAGACTGACTTCACAAATTTAACTGTAATATATAACAATTATTTTAGAATTTAAAATATAGAATTATTTAGCTAAGACTGTAAGTTTAGGTGTATGTAACTAAGGCAAATCTTTGCATTATTACAGCTGCCTTGATAATATTGGTTTGAAAACACTACAAGTCCATACCTAAATTTATTAATGTGAAGTATAATCCTAGGTAGTATATTCTTATGATTTACAAAGTTTTATTTGTTGCCTCATAAAGTAATAGATATGATCTTATAAGCATACATTGCAGATGCGTTCCTTAGTATCTAGGATTACAAAAATTGTATGTGTATCCAAATGTTCCCATATCATTTTTAAAAATATTTTGTCAGGTTATACACACATATATTTAATGGACACTCCTTAGGTAGTTGATGAATTTCTAAATAAAACATGGCATTGGGAAATGGACTTTCAATCAATCAAAACTATGGTATGGCTGTATTTTGAAGTCACCATGATGTAAGTGTTGTATTAAGTATTTCACATATTAGAAAAACCAATAAGTGGTTATCAGATACTGATTGATGGCATTTATGAGCTATGCATATGTTATAATGAAAATATGGATAACAGACATAGTTTAAATGCCAAGCTTTGAGCTTTCTCTAATGTGATTAAAACTTGGTATATGCAAAAGGTCTGACTGTTAAAACACATTATAGGATCTGTGCTGTTTTCTGAACACAGGGAATTTTTAGAAGGGAAGTATTTTTCAAAGTAGGTGTTCAGTTGATTCATAACACAAAAGTAAAGAGAAGAAGAATAAAAACTGAAATGTGTATTAGCTATATGAAGATTGAGGAAATTATGCATTATTTTATTTGTTTTTTAATAACAGCAAACATTGAGCCTAAAAATAGGATGGAAGAAAGTGGGGCTAGTGGCCGACCTTAGTGACAAAGGTCTCCTTAGAATGAGCAAGGTCCAGGTTTTGATCCCCAATATTGAAGAGGGGAAGGGAGGAGAGAGAGAAACAGGAAGAGGAAATGAGTGGGAGGAAAAGAAGTAAGTGGGAATGAGAGAAGGAGGAAAGGAGGAAAGGAGATATAGCTGTTTACTTTGTAATTCATTAAAACAAAATTATATACACTTTTTAAAAGTCATTGATAATATGAAAGTCAGTAAATGGCTACTTTTGTTTGTTTGTTTTTAATTTTTGAGTAATAAATCAGATAAAAAGTAGTTTGATTTATTAGAACAAGTGCCCATGCTTTGAATTTCCTTTTCAATGCCTTCCATTCTGGATGATCTTGAAGTCCTTATAATTATGTGTTGATTTAAAATTGTTATTTTGATTATAAAGTAGCTAAGTTAGCTGCTCTTCAGCAATGGGGATTCCTTTGCAATCAGTCAAATCTCTTATGATAACCTTATAGATTTTACTGTTCCAAGACTTCATACTTAGTTTAAGGGTAAAGCAAAAACTGTACTCAGAACATCTGACCAGAGCCCCAACCATACTGCTAACCACAGGCTTCCCTTCTAACAGAAACAGATGAGAGGTACAAGGGACAGTGAAAGGCAGTAAGTTTGAAGGGGTCAAGGTGCTTTGACAAAGTCACGAAGGAGGCATCAAAGATGCCCATGTTGACTTACCCTCCTGTTTGGTGTTCCGGAGATTGTCACAGCCTAGAAAGATGCACCATGGTAAGATTGGGGACATGTGACAGCTCTGCTTTTCTTCTCTAATGTGGTTATTACGAAAGCACACAGTGAACTCTTATTTTCTGTAAATCTATTCTCTTAACACTGCTCATGCAAACTCCTTGGCGAGTTGTCCCTAACACTATACAAATGGACTAGGGCAACAAACCACTGAAGGACATCTTAAGGTGTATTCTGGGCATTTAAAAAAAAAATTCTCTGAAGTCCACAACTTGGATATGTGGTAAACCAAAATAAATGCACATGTCATATTACTATCTGCTAATACAGATAAGTCTCCAGTTAAGTTTTGGTGGTATACAAGGTAATTTCATTTCTGGTCCAAGAATTAACTATCAAGATAATTTTTCAATTAAGATTGCAATGAATGTTGGCCAACTGGAAGACATAGACTATTGCCAAATTATTTATTTATATATATATATATATATATATATATATATATATATATATCCATTCTCTTTCTGAAATAATTTTAGAATGGAATGATCATCACAAATTTAAAAAAGAACAATGCATCTATAAGGATGGCTGGTATCACATTTTAAGAAACAAAACCAGTAGCAACCAGAAAGCCCCTTTTTATTTAATCTTCTCAAAAAGCTATCTATACTTGGATTTTCATAATTTCTTAATTATTTCTAGGATTCCTTTGTTAAAATAACCAAAAAAAAGATGAGAATATAGCCTTTCCACCCACATATTTGTTAAGCATGTATATTAAGAGAGCAGACATGACTTCCAATGGGTCATCATATTGTCTATTCTTCAGAAATATTTATAATATGTCAAATATTTATTGCACCTTTCTCATAATTCAAATATTTGCTTTGGTTGAATTTTTTTCAAAATTCCAACACTAAAGGTTTAAAATGTGATGCCAATTTGGGTTACTGTGAAGATAGCCACTCAATAAAACTATGTGATATAAAAAAGAAATACAAATTTTTATATGTTACATAAAAATAATAGTATACAAATGCAATGAAATTTTCACCCAGAAGATATCTTGACATAGGTCTACAGAATATTGTATGACTAAGATCAGTGATGAAAGATGTTCATTAGGTATAAGTAACACTATGATTGTTTCTACATTCATGTCAGAATTTAGATTTTTTTCCTCTTTTTAGGAAGATTATTCTAGTTACTTAAGTCAGGGGTCATGAGTTCAATCAGTTCTACTGTTTATAGATTATTATTGTCAGGGTTTAAAGACTAAAAGGATTAAAACTTTTTTTTTTTTTTACAAGCATCTGACACACTTTAATCTAAGCAACACATCATTTAGGAATACCAAGAATTGTTTACTGAGGACAATCATCTGCTTGGTATTTTAGCATACTCTGGATTTCGTCAAATTAGATAATGTTTTCTCACTATATATATGGGGACTGTGCTGTAAGCTTGCTCATAAGGAAACCCTATGAGAAGAGGTATTGTTAACTCAATGGCCCACAATTTTAATTTGAAAAGAATTTTAAGGAATTCCTCAACAGATACACAGAAAGGAACTGTACACATTGCTAAAAGCCAGAAAAATAGAATGCATATTCTACCACACAGTTACATTCACAAGCATTGACTGTTTTCAGCCACTGTTAAAGATAACCCATCCCAAAAAGCAGTGACCGTGGAGGAGGAATGCAGAAAAGCAATTTGAATATCTATTATGGGTTAATAGTTATAATAGTACCCACATCTTTCTTTAACTCATTATGAAGTAGTTCTTTAAAAAAAAAACTACTGTTTTTTTTTAATTTTTTTAGGAAAGTTATTTTATTTATGTGTATGTGTGTGTATGAGCATGTGCACATGCACAAATATATGTTGGAAAGGGGTGCCTTTGGGGGCCAGGAGAAGTTATTGTATCCCTTGGAATTGGACTTAAGTGTAGTTGTGAGTTACCCTATATGGATGCTTGGGACCAAACTAGGGTCCTCTACAAAAGTGGCAAGGACTGTTAACCATGAACCATCCCCCCAGCCCTCATTGCTTTTACTTTTCACACCTTAGTAATGTGGGAGAGAGTTTGAATGAAAATTTTATTTAAAGATTAATATAACATTTTTACTGGGGTGGGACAGGGCATGTGTCACAGTGCACCTGTGGAGGTCAGAGGCTAGCACTGGGGGCTTGGTGGGCACTCTCCTTTAACCGTGTGGCTCTGAGACACCAAACTCAAGTCAGCCACCCTGGCAGCAATCACCCTTGCCTACACAGACACCTCCTAAGTCCAGAAACAAAATTTCTACATGCAAAAAAACATAATGCAAGAGCAGAAATTGCTCCTTTTACATTGTGTTCATGGTTAGTTTCAACAAAGTGATATAAAACACTCACTTTAAAAAGTTCAACGATGATAGATAGATAGATAGATAGATAGATAGATAGATAGATAGATAGATAGATAGATAGATAGATAGATAGACAGATAGATTGATAGATAGACAGACATAGATATAGATATATAAATTTTGTATTGGCCCTGACTAAAATCTTTTTTTAACTAAAAATGATCATGATTTCAAAAAATTCTATGGCTGTTAAGTCCTAAAAATATATACACGAGAGATTACAGGGCTTGACCCGCACAGTCATTTACTGCATTTGAGTTTTATAAATTAGTAACACCTGTGAACATTATGTACTAATCAAGCATTGTAAAAAATCACTATTTGCCATGTGTTCTACAAACTGTTCTTTAGTCTACTAATGTTTATTATTGGGCAATTTTATTGAGTTTATATGCTATCTTAGTTCAACTTTGTGACTAGATATAATTTTCTTCCACTTTTAAGATAAGGAATAAAATTTAGAAAAAAATAATGCTGTTTACTGTGCTATGAGGAGCATATAAAATTATAACAGGTCGTTTTGTTGCTATTCTTCATAAAATGAACCTATGTCTTCTGTGATCCCGGGAACAGGTTAAGACCTCCATCTGGAATACACCTGCAGAGCCTCTGCCTTCATGAAACTTAAAGTCACCTTTGAACAATTGCTCTGTTGCAGTATCACTAAAAAAAGAAGCTGTATGACAATGAAGGAGAGATTCCAGACAATAAAAGAGAAAAGGAAGAAGGTCCTTGCCAAAACAGGAACTCTTAAGGTGAAGGGAAAAAGAAAACCACAAAACTGAAAGAATTTTCATGTTCAGGTTCACAGCCTGAGACAAATACCAGGCAAGAAACACAGATCACTGGGTAATATAAGTGCTTAACTTCTTAAAGTCAATTGAAGAACTGACATATGTATTTGCCTGACACTAATAAACCCAACCACATTGACCTAATATGTGAAGAGTGTGCTTAACCCAATAATGTTGACACAACATAATTATGGCTACACAGACAATTTTCTAGAGCTTCTTCTACAGCATAGTATTTATTAACGAACTACGACTATTAAAATTATATACTGAGAATTAATTATAATTTTAAAATCAGTTTCACCACATTTTATGTTTCAATGGCAAATGTAACCCAAAACTTACAATGTTTGGGTAACAAAATTTCCCACAGAACGGAAATTTCTAGCACAGAATAAAATAGACGTTTTCTAAAAGTTAAAGGGAGTTAAAGTAGCAGACGTCTAAGTAAACTTTAATTTCTTTGACTAACAGATATTCCTTATAGAAAAAGGCACTTTCTGCTCAGTATACCCTTTGCCTAAAATGGTAATGATAGCATTACTGCATTACGAGCAGGGAGATAAAGTTGGGCAGGGAATGTTTGCACTGTGCACTCAGGAAAGAACGTGATATCTGGACAAATCAGGTTGAAATGGAAACATGCAAATAAAGTACATTCTGGGTCATTTTGTTTATAGTGGTAATGTTATAATGGACTGAGTTTCATTTTCTGTAGTTGAAGATCTTTGATATACCTGGCAACTCACACACACACACACACACACACACACACATCATCATCATCATCATCATCATCATCATCATCATCATCAGTATTGTGAACCTATGTGTGCTTTTTCCAAAATTTCTTACTTTCCAAAAATACACTACTTTTATAATTAGATAAGACAAAAAAATGTTAGAAAGGAAGTTATTGTAGATCGACTGGGAAAAAAAGGAATGACAGAAGAAATAAGAGGAAAGGAGGGAAAAAGTTAAGGAGGAGGGGACAAGAAAGGAAAGACGGAAAAGGGAGGATGATAATATTGACAGAATAATGACTAATCTCCATTATGAAAAACATATAAAATACCAAAACTAAAAGTCATAGATCCATCCTTTATCTAGAAGAAAGCAATCAACGGTATACTAAAGATGAAACATGAGTTCTAGTACACTAACAAAAGAAACCCCCAAATTGTCCAGTATTAAATTATGTGGCAAAGAACCAAACTATTTGTTTGCACTCGTAATAAATTAGATAGTCACATAAGGATTAACTGCCAGCTGACACTTGAAACACTGCCCAGTAGCCCAATTTTGAACACTAACTCATATTTGGTTTCCTACCAATAAATTTTACTAAAGAGATTTCAAATAGTATAATTCATAAGAGAGGTACACAGTGTGAGTCTGACTTCCATATTTTTTTCTATCTGCCTTCCTACCTCTGAAGTGTGTCTATCATGTAATAACATCAAGGGTTCAGATTCCCTTGGAATAAATATAGATTGTGCAGACCACGTATATATTTTGAAGGTATGTAAGGTTTCATAATAAATTCAATTTTCACTCTTAATTGGCTCAAGAATTTGATAAAGGAAAGTTGTTGATTATATGGATGAGTGACATAAACAGATAACTCACCTTCCATTTCTCAGAAAGATAAAATTATCTTTAATGTTTAAAGTTACATGGCTTATTCACAAATACACAGGAGGCTTTGGTACTGTCAAAATTAGAAAAATGAAAATATAGGGACATTACTGTCTCTAAAAAAGAATAATGCATTCAGTTTCATCTAATATCTTCTATGCTTGGTTCAAACTCA